TATTCATATATCTTTAAAAAAAAAGAAATATCATGTCTTTGCTATTTTAAAAATACCTAATATTGCCAACAAGTGGGCAGCTTTAAATTCAACAAGAATTTATATGGGTGTTACCTTAAACCTCGAATATCTCAAAAAGTAAGTAAAATTTAAATATAAGATAAATTACAACCCTCCGTTATTTTTTGTCCTAGAATTCATATCTGAATGAAAATATAGTGTTTTCCATTTGAAAATCTTGAGATTTTATTAATTGAATTCGCCAAGAAGGCACCACCTATTGGGGACACTCTGTATATGTGTTGTGGACACTCTGATGTGCATCATCTCGTTAGTCTGTGGTTAAATTTTCGTTGCAATACCTGGATCAGTAGCGTCACAACACAATTCTATATGGGGAAATCAAAATATGAAAAAACATATAACCTCAACTTCTGCCTAAACAATGCAAAATTTGAATATTAATTTCTTAAGAAAGTGACCTTTATTTTAAAAAAGGATTTCAAAAATGTCGAAATATATAGGGTGTTCCATTTAAAAATACAAAGTTGATGTCGGGGTGGGACACTTTTGGGACACCCTGTATCAACAAAATTATAATATTTTAAATATTCAGGAGAGTCCAAGAAACTTTTGTACGAAACTTTTTTCGTATCTCCTATGGGTTTCCAGATCGCATGGTGGATCGTTTTATTTGGCACACGGTGTACACAAGATTTAGGTAAAATAAAAGGGTTGCGGTAAAGTTTGGGCCGCAACGGCGAAATTTGTTTAAGACTCCATAAGACGCGACTCTGTATTCTCAGTGGGACTTGGACTATATATCCAGATATTTGCTACCATCTTGTAGCGCTTGTTGTATTCTATAATGGTTGAGATTCTGGTTATAGCTAAAAAAGAACGCGTCTATTAAAATGTTGCTGTACTTTCTCACTTTGAATTATATATTTATTAGAACAAGGGTTCTAAACCACTGAGGAATATTCAATATTGGATTGCACCATGCCATTAAAGCAAATAAGGATTTTGAGTTAATTACGTTACGTGTTCTTTGTAGAATAAATTCAATATGACTTTCAACAGACAGTTTGGGCTAGTAATAGGTAATATTAATACTGCTGCTGCTTTCTGGTGACTAAAACAAAGTTACATTAACCTAAGTTTAACCAAGGTCTATGAGATTGAAGTTCTCGCCAGTCATTTGATAGTCTTTTGTATTCCGTTAGTGGAGCTAAGCTAAAGCACTTAGGCCTCAGCAAGCCCATTGTGCTTCTTCCTAGGCAGAGCACTCCGCTTTACATCAAGCAGAAAGGGAGTCAAATGAGAGCCTTGTGGAATTCCTAAGGTGACGTCAGTCAAAACTTGCGTCAATGAACAGAAATTCCCCGTTTATATTATATTTATAAAATTTACAAATCCAGCAAAATCCACAGACACAGACTTTTTTTTGTAATGCCCGAGATTACATTCCGCAATAAATTGCGAAGTAAACAAACAAACGCTTAAACAAAACATTTCTCTGACGGTAAAATGTATCATTAATAGGGCAGCTTTTGTTTCTATCGGGTCCTATTTATAAACGAGACAATGAAATTTAAACTCATAGAGCCGACGTTAATTAAAATTTTAATCCCCAGTCGCAGAGCATTTACAAAACTTTTCGAAAACATTCTTTTTGAATTTTGTAGTGCGAATACGATCATTATCGCTATCTTATTTAACTTAAAAGTTTGCCCGAATGATATTAAACAATGAGACTTTTCACATCCAAACAGCAGTCGGCAAGTGAAGTTGACTAAATCTTCTCCCGATTTATAAAAGTAAATATAACAGTTTAAAACCAACGAACTTCTACAAATATGACCAAAAAATTGATTATAAGCGTTATGCTAGTCTCGGATATGGATATGTGAAGCAAATTTCATCTTCGCTGGGTAAGATGCATTAGCCACTATATTCTTGGCGATCAGATATGACTCCTTAACGTACACTTCACTTCAAACTAACCAAAATATTCTCTCTCTTTCCATTCGACTGGTTATCCTCGCATTTATAGATGTTAGGTATTTTTATCTGAAAGAAAAATATTCAATTCACGATTAGGTAGAGAAAATCCACCCTCACCTCCATTAATAAGGGTGAGATGGTGAGCAGCTTTGTCTGAAACTATGTGGTTGTTCAGGTTAGAACAAGTATTTACCCTAAAACATCAATATATTTAACAATACTACTTCTAAGTTCCTAGTTCTATGAAAATGAAAAGGCAGGTCACTGCTAACAAACTCTAACTAGACTAGATAGATTTTAATGGAGCTTCACTAGGATGACACTGATATGCCATTGATTAAGATGTGATAGATGTGTTTCTACCGAAGCACACAGAGTTCAGAAGCGTCGAAAAACAAGTACACACACTGCACCAACGGAGTGTATTTCTATACGTGGGAGAAAAGTACAAATCAAACAGCTATTATCTTGATTTGGGTTTAAAGGCCGTCGTCGGTTGGAATTACTTCCTAACGTTTTGCTAGCACGAGTGGCGAGCTTCTTCAGAGGTCCTTCCATCACCGATGTTGGACGTAGACTGAGTCAACGTCAACGTCAGTCTACGTCCAATATCGGAGATGGAAGGACCTCTCAAGAAGCTCGCCACTCGTGCTAGCGAAACGTTAGGAAGTAATTCCAACCGACGACGGCCTTTAAACCCGAATCAAGATAATAGCTTATCAACGGGCCGCGAAAGTCTTAACCAATTTAACAAATCAAACAATCAATAAAATAGAACGTCTACACCGTTCGTCCCCCAAACCAACCAAAATCAAAATTGGCATTTGTTTTCTTATTACGATTGCACCTTCCAAAGCCTACTTGTGTCCTATATAACAAATCATTTTTTCGGTTGATAACTAGTAAAATATTATTTTTAAAAATGTTATATTGAAACCATATACTCGGGACTATCATTTTATCTGCTTATCTGTCTACTGGGATTTTTTTATATTGGATATTTTTTTAATTAAACGAGAAATGAGATTTTGTTGTTTTTTTAAATATTTTATAATTTATTACAATTATAACGTGAAAAATGACTAAATAAAAAAATCTTGAAAAACACAAAATAAAAAGTACAAAAACAATACATTTTGAGGATAGAGGAACACAAATAAAACCTAACATTATCGTAATCACTACCATTATCATAAAATAAATTTATACACAAAGCAGTCATCAATCTGTAGTCCAGGCTTACGAGTGTAAGTGTCACAAATGTACCTAGTTTCCCGCTTGCCGCCTTGTACTTTGCGGTTAGAACATACCGCACAGTCTTTTTTCTTTCCACCATTTCGGGGTAAAATATGGAATTTACCATTTAGCCGCTCTTCTGTATCTACAGATGATGGTCTGCCAGAAATTTTGTACCCCTGCCAAAAGTTTTTTGTCATCTCGCCAACCAATTGCCGAAAAAACTTTAGAGGTGTCATTGGTTTTTTGTTTTGACTCAATTGTGAAATTTTATATAATAAATATGCATTGACACTAGACATTTCGAGTCCCCAAAAAAATAACTTTCGCCACCACTTCAAAGACTTCCTCAGAAAACAGCATGACGCTGAATAAGAGTCTACGCGGTCGACACCTCCCATATGTTTATTGCAATTGACCACTACATTTGGCTTATTTACAACTTGTAAGTTACCTCCACGTACTCTTCTGTTGATAGGCTGTGTTCCTGAAATATTCCACTAGGTAAATGTGGTGACGACCATTTTTATCTTTCCACGCCAATAACATCAAATTACCTGATCTGCATGCAAATGGTTTAGTTTTTTAACATTTTGTTTTAACTTCTTCTGCAAGTGGCAAGCTCGTATAGTATCTATCGGTGTAAAAATGACATCCTCTACATCCTTGGTTATTGCCTAATAATTTTTAACACACAGATGTAACACTGTCCTTGTGGTTACAGGTAAATCAGGTCTCACTAAATCTTCCGATGTCAATTCGTAGGCTTATTGGGATTGTAAGATAAAAACAAATTTTACCCTTAAATCCAACAACAGATTCGTCTACCGATATCTCTATTGAAGGAACAAAATGTTCTATGAATTGCTTGTCCAAATAATCTAAATAGTCTAAGTGGAGCATCCAAAAAATTTGTAAAAATCATTCTCTTCTAAATATACTGTTCTGACCAATATGCTTGGGTATCAGATAAGGTTATTGTACCTATATTATGCGGTAAATTCTTCTACTGTAATATCTACCCACGTGTGCCATGTAGAACGTTTTGACAACATTTTCTGTGTTGTTTTATGTTTAGCGTACTTATTTGTTTGTTCCACTAATTTTTATATTAGCTCATCGGTGACAAAGAGCCTGAAAAAATCTATGGGTTTTGCACAACTATCAGGGATTTGTGGTCCTACCATTTTATCCCCAGAAGTAAATATAATCCTATCTGAGCGTGGTATATGACTTCCTGCCATGGGACCAAAATTACCAGGTTGCGTTATATTTTCGTTTTCTCCACTGCTGCTTGAACTTGATGGTAAAGGTTCGGTTCTATGTCTTTTAGTAACTATAGCATCACTACCGCTACCCAATCGATCATTTTCAGGCGCGTCAATATAAAATTCATCGTCACCACTTTGCAATTCAATTTCATCTTGTAAAAATTTCTTGACCATTTGTTTTTTTTTTTTTTTTTTCGAAATATACACCGAAAAAATATACCAAACTTTGCGTTCCCTTTAGAAAGCGGAGTTTTCCTTTTAAAATATTCACCTATATATATATGCCCATTTTTATTCAGTTAAATTTATTTTTTCTTTTTACGGGATGCCATCGTCATACCATTTTCAATATGGTGAATGGATACACCAATAGACAAAACCCATTAATTGTGGTTTAAATATTCGTTGCACCACTCTGTGGTCCCTTTGCATACCTAATGACGTTTTGAAATATACCTTAATTAATTATGTAATAATTTTTTTCAGGCAAAACTGGAAACCAAAGCTTTGAAAGCGAAACGACCAGGGTTCACAGACGATCGTTACAACGAAACGTCTTACTACATTGAAAACGGTAAGCAATTTCACTTGAGCGACGGAAAAGAAAATTAGTGCAGCTTCATAATTCCCCATAAGATTTTATTTTTAAGACAGACGACATATTTTCCCGGCGGGGAAACTATCTTAGAATTCGGATTTACTCGCTCAGAAAGAGAAATACACGGGAATACCGTATTTACCGTATACTTTCCGGCGAAATGTCTGCAACACCACTCGTTCGGGAAATTTGAATAAAACTATTACTTTAAAGAAGAGAATAAATCACGTCGAGCTTGTACCATGTATCATAAAATATCTAGTCGAGTTTACATCGTTCTTTCGGTTACGGGAAAGCGTCTATTTGATTTCGCCGAAATGCATAAAAATAAGGAAATGCGACCTAACTCTTCTGTGTGCTCGACTTTGAACTGCATTTTTCGCAGATAACCGGTAGATTTTCCGATTCGCTTCTACACGGCTGTCGTTCTTTTGTTCTTTAAATTGGAACTTGCTTTTTTGCTCGTTTTAGCGAATGTAACTAAATAACCACTCAAATGTGGAAACGGAAATGAAAAATCGGAAACGTTACGGACTAGGGAAAAATTGTAGTATTACAGATAGGTGAGTTCTTAAAACTAATTAACCAACGTTGGTTAGTAAAATATAGCTACCAAGTAAGAATGCTGATAATTAAAGGCGCCTTGCACTCCAACTTCAAAAAATGTCGACAAGGTTGCGTGGTTCATTTCACCTTTGAATAGGAAACTGAAGATCAAACTGATATTTGAACCTAAGATTAATAGTTCTTGCTAGTATTTCAAAATAATGATGAACCTAATCTATGGGGAGGGGGTGGGAGAGGGAGAGAGGGGGAGGGGGTGAGAGAGGGAGAGAGGGGGAGGGGGTGAGAGAGTGGTGGGGAGAGGGCGGAGGGGGGAGCCAACCTTCTTAGAGGAGAAGGCACATAGAGCAAAAGCTCTCAACGAAAAGTCATTACTTGATACAATAAAGATGTATTCTTCTCTTTGAACTGTTTCCATTGAATGGATCTGAAACAATCACGAATATTTGTTTCTTCTGAAATAGGACTTTCCGTTAATTTCGCATTTTATCAGCTTCAGAAACTCATATATAATATTTGACACAACGATCAAGGTAGCACCAGCTAAGTTTTTGGATGGAAGTTAGTAAGATTCTGGTAACATGATATATTGTTGTATATGTATATTGTAAGTTTCTTTATTTGCCACTCTAGATTGTCATCCATGCAGCGTGATTAACGGGTTGTCCAATAATTGAAAACTGGTGGATGAGTGTAGGTTAAACGAAAATAGCGACATAGCCCTGTCTCACACTTTGTTCGACTGGCACTTTTTTAAATGTGATAGTAAAGTTTGGGATAATCTTATCGCTATTAAAAATTCTTTTGTACATTCTACGAGTCATTTTTCTTTGAACGCGACCGAATTGGACGATGTTTTTATCGTCGATAAATTATACAGAAAATTTTCTGCACGATTTAAATTCCAAAGACGGAATCGGACGAATTTCACGATCCATCGTCCTATCGATCGGGGGTTGCGGACAATAAACGCGACCCCGGCTAAAAGGAAATACAGATAAAACTTTCACCAAACATTTTTATATTTTACTCTTTTTCAGGCCGCGGACCGGGGGACTTTCTAGAATCGCGATACCTTGCGTTTACAAAAAAATAGAAATTTCTATTTGATTTGTTCGCCGCTCCCTTATCTCGGTCGAGGCGAGAAATCCAATTTTATTCGGGAAGTGTTCCATTTCCGGACGGGAGAAAGCCGCGGGTCTCGATTTTGAATCGGTTTGGCAAAGATCAAAAATCCCCCCCTAACGGGGGGCTTAATCGGGCACGCATTAACGCGAATTTCCAACAGAAAATTACTCCCAAATCAAATTTTATTGTACTGTTATGAGTTTTTTTGGCGGTATATTTTTGCAACCAATTGGATGAACTGTTGGATATAGTGTCTCAATCTTCATCGTGTCGGCTTTAACGGTTATTGGGTAAAGCCATTAACAAAAAATTTATTCTTGCCTGAGTGACAAGGCAGAGGTGGGCCAGGTGCAATATTTCTTTCTTTCTGATATATTTCTTGAGTGATGACCATTTGCGGCAGTGTTGAATAATCGTTTCTACCGTGCGTTTCGAAAAAGTTGTTTTACAAGAATATACTAATGTTTTATAGATTTTTTTTTGCCCATAAACTTCACACCCTATATATAATTCAAACAATGTTTGAAATAAAGGTTATAGCCCCGGATCTCCCACGTTTCCTGGTATATGATTTTTCTCAATAGAATAAGTGATTTTCAAGAAATGACTTGTTTTCTGAAACCATGCAGTACGTGGTAATAGTAAATGACGTCACCGCGTCTATATTGAGGTGTTTTTCATTTGGATTTTTTTCAAATATCTCGAACAGCGTACGTCATAGACGAAAATTGTAAATACAAAAATTGTAGCTCTTGATGTAGCCTATAACACTGTTTCAACCAATTGGCCATATTTTTGACGAATTTTGATTTACCGCTAATAATTTAATAGCGAAAAGAACGCTTTTCAGGTTCTTTTAGATTTTTCTCTATAATTGATAAACCCTGTCTAAAATGGAAAAAAAACTCCAGCATTTCCTGGTTCCCAAATTTTGCCTTTCGGGTTAATGGTTTGCGACAAAATAGGTTTTTTCTGGAAGTCAAAATATACAAAAAAAAATCAAAATTTTTTAAAAAATACTTTGCGATATTTGAGTAAGTCCTTTTCCGACCCATCAAATTCGGGTGTGGAGTTCTACCCTTCTGCGAAATATAAAGTCGACAGCTGCAAACTTAAGACACCTGTTATTTTTTGAATATGGACTATATCGCGATGTAAAATGAAATAGCATCCTTGCACTTATAGCCAATTCTCGATAATAGAGGGCCCATTTTTCAGTTTATATATATATATAAATATATATATATATATATATATATATATATATATATATATATATATATATATATATATATATATATATATATATATATATATATATATATATATATATATATATATATATATATATATATATATATATATATATATATATATATATATATATATATATATTTCGACGCTGATTCGATCTGTACCAATGGCGGTCTTGTAGGACCTACGGTTACCGAGATCTGGAGAAAAATTACTAGCGCATATAATAAATATAAATATAAATTCGATTTCATCGATTTTTCGAAAGTATCAATAACCTTTAGAAGAAACATGTCTACTTACAAAACGCCAATATCGTCTATAAGGGATATTATTAACGGTGGAGAATTGATGAAAAGGAATAAACGTTGTGGTTTTCAAACTCAACCTATAGACAATAGTGATCAGGACCTAATAAGAAGAGAAATATCTTATCTAAGCAAATTGTTCCTACCTTGGATAAACTGACAAAGGAGCTAGAACAAGATGAAATCAATATAAATAAATATAATCCGTGCCACCCTCCATGGAGTTGTTTGTAAAATGGGACTGAAGTACCACAAAATAGACAAAAGGCAAGTAATAACCGAATCACCCAGATTACGCAATTGGAGATTTAATTATCATCAAGAAATTAAAATGTTAGACAACATATCCATAACTCATTGATGAAACATAGTTCGATACGCACAATACTGTATCTACAGGATGGATTGATTCCACTCACAACGAAGCACCTTCAAATAAAGGAAAACGTATCACCATAAGGCAAGCTGGGTTAGTAGCATACAATATAGAGATACATCCTTGTCCTAAATGGAATTACATGGTGATAAAAGTAATTTTATTCTTTCGTCTTTTAGTACTTACGTTCACAATATTAAAAATTAGCTTTTTTACTTAAAAAAATATCAGAAAATAGAAGAAATAATCCGAAAAAATAATAACATATTATGAGCAAATGTGGTAAACGGCATTTGAGTCACGAGTTCATTTGAAACGAACGGAACGCAGCGGAGCGAATGTTTAACTTACCTCACGCTAGATCGGTGTATAATTAGGTATTTTACAGGACGGAGTAGAAAATTTTTTGGTGGTGCATTTGCCGCCATCTACCCATTATTATAAAACTGATTACACTGAAAAATATATAAATAAATTATCAAAATTCTTCAACATTGAAAAAAAAAAATTTCTACTCCCGTCTGTAAAATACCTAATTACGCACCGATCTAGCGTGCGGGAAGCGTCGCTTTACCACGTCAGTTTCGTTTCCCACGAATCCGAGCCACTTCGGATATTTCCAGGATTTTACCGCACGGGTTTGGGAGCAATCGGATGTTTTCGAAGATATTTCCCACGCTTTGAATTTTGACGTTTGTCAATTCTGACAGTCATGTCAGTGAATGTGTTGCGAAAATGTACCCAAAAACTAACTGTCGTAGGAAAAGTATAGTATGCAACACGTTCGGTCAACTTTTTGACTCACGAGTTTATTTGACACGAGCGGAGCGAGCATTCTTTCAGGCGAATTTGCAGAATTTCCGATGCTCTGGCAGTACATTTCAAAAATAAAATATTGCGGAAAAATAAAAAGAATAATAATAAATGTACTTTTTAGCTTATTAAAATAAATTTTATTATATTATTATTATATTTAATTTTGAACTCCAAAGAGGAAGGTTAAATAAACGAAAATTTGAACAATGTCAGGCTGATTGCATAAGGTTCCCAATAGAATAAAATAATATGATGTGTGTGTTATTAATATTAAATTGTGCTTTCAGAGCTTCCCTAAAATGTTTTTATTGAAACCCCCGATTTGCGGCCTGAGGCAAGCTATTGCCACGTTCAAGTTAGTATAAACAGCAACACTGCTTTCTAGTGCAAAGAAAAAATATTTTATATATTTCAGCACCGCTCTTTGATAAACCAAGAAAATCATGATGCCGTAATAAAAATCATATCGACACGATAAATTTACTTCAAAGATTATATTTCGAGCTCCCACTAATGATTTTAAGCCCTTC